CTTCTGAAATATTAACATCCGTTACTTGCTGATATTCATCGTCAAACTGCCATCTCGGAGATGGCGGATGGTTTGTCAGACTACCATTTTTACCCGTCTGAAAATTCGACTGCATTACGTGACAGAACTTTTCCCAGGAATAGGATTTCGCGCTGGCCACTGATTTCGCAGCGGTTTTGAGCGCTGCTTCGTACTGCACTAAAGGTCAAGACTCGTTGCTTCAAAGCAACCTCTCGACAGTCACCTTCTGACTGATCAACTTCGCCGACTGTCGGATGGACCTCTCGTGTCGTGTTCATCAACGATTCCGTTGCTGACCTCCAGGTAGCAGACCAGCCAGTTAATCTTCAGCATGACGCAGCAGCGTTGAAGATATCCCTATGGAGGAAGCCTTCTAAGTGAATGGTTTCATCAGATAGGGAGTGAGGTGGATTGTGGTTTCGCTCTGACTTTTAAATTACTATGTTCAGGTCCAAGAGCATTGTAAAATTTCATATTAATTGAAGCGCAAACCATTGATAAATAAAAACTCTCGACATAAGGATTTACCATCGAAAGAGTTTAGTCCTTCCCAACGCTTTGAAAAGGTAGTGAGCCGAACGCAATTAAGGCAGTGGTTAGGCTCTGACAGAATTACGACATTGAGGGACAACCAGTTCAGTGTAAGCCTGATAATTTAAAACTAACTTCACTATAGCAGAATTTCTAAAACAGAAATATTAAATTAGATTAGCACAATGCAATTGCTTAGGCAAGACGATGTAAACAACTCAATCGTTTAATAATTATATGAATACAACGGTCTACCAATGTGCCGATTTGATGGGCATCTGGCACATACCCAGACTGCTGATAGGGGACGACTTTCAGAGGTTAGCTGCGACAAAAGAGTGGTCGAGACCTAGGGCGTGGCTGGATTTGAGCTCTAAAAGTTCGTTCCCCAGAGAAAGCGTTTCAATGCTGTTTAATGTCGAGACGAAAGCGACCCGCCTTTTAGGCAACAAAAGGCACACATAAACCTAAAATTATAATAGATACTATCAAACAAAGGAAGCTCGATGTTGTACAATCATCGATAATATCATAGTGAGGTATGTGAGTTGCTGTTTGTTTTAGTGGTATTTGCAGTGTTATTACACAGTAGTTAAGTGGTCGCCTCACGAAACTGTGGGTTCGAATCCTCTAAGGGTCAATCTTTGACCCTATCGCAAATTCTGTTGAACAAGGAATCAACCCTCCATTGCTTTGGCGAGACCAACTAAAAAACGAGTGGTAAGTCAGTAACTTGCGAGTGAAGAGCACAGCATGGAATTCTGGCGCCTCGTCATTTCAGAACGAAGGGGTGTACGCTACGCTTTTAGGTTCAAGGGCTCCTTCAACACTTTTCAAGGGCTCCTAAACAGGCTGGCTTCAGTGGATAACCTGGAAATAGGGTTCGAAAACAGGGAAGAACTGGACACCGACTTCTGCGTTCCATCGAATGATGAAATCCGAGATGGTATACCGCAACCGGCTCGGGGTTGCTGAGAGACAGCACACTTATTCCCGACTGCCCGGAGAATGGTGCTCAGAACCCGTGGAAGCTGCAACTTTTATTAAGAGATATGCTTCCGCTCACGGTGCCATCTGTCGCGTCTGTGATGCTTACGCCGTCGAGCTGACAGGAGATCAGGCACAAGCAGAGCGGAATCTAGCACAGTAAGATGTGCCATTACAGCTGGTAGGTGACTAGTAAGATTAGGGTTTTGAAGTGTATAAAAATAAAACTAACACAGGAGACGATGAGATTTCTACAGACAGACTGGGAATGAAACCGGGAAATCAACGGAACGTTCGAGCCATGTTTACAAATGATGACGCAGACACTAATGGCATTAGATTCAAGCCATGAATGCAATCGAGTTGTTCTGCATCTGATGAAAACAGCGTTTGTCTGCTTAGCTTTGCCACTAAGGTCATCCTTCAGCTACTTGTCATGGGTCAGCCTTTTAATCACCAATTTTATTTTACAATCTAGCTGAGAAAACGTTTTTTGACCGTCTCACTCAAGCAATGAACTTGTAGCCTGAATTTGAATAATAGCTATGTGCCAAGCACTGCACGTCAGCTGAAGCGTCTGATCGCTTCCACAATGGATTGTGCATCAGGAATGATGAATGCCTGGCAACCGCGTACACCGCAAAGGAATTAAGCTGCATTACGATTGTCCTCGATTACCATGATGCAATCATTTGTACTATTTACCCAACCCGCGATTACTTTCAACATTTAACTATACATTTTATGCATAGGTGGGCTTCTTTATGTCGTTCGTCACCATTACGGAGCTTTGAGGAGTAGTGCAGTCTTGTCCAGTGGTGAGAAATTAGACCAATCAGATTCTGACGGCATGGTGTTTCTTCCAGCACGTGGTTTCTTACTGTACAAGTGACGTCGGAATTCAGTATTTATTGACGTGTGGAAAAGCACCTGTTCCGTTGGAGCACTCTATTGTTCAGGGAGTATAGGAACGGTCACTTACTGACATCAGAGGGAAATCGACGCTGCCTAATTACTGAAACATCGGAGGAGGTGCTTCAGAATCCGGCGACGACGTGTCTAAAGATACATTGAATTTGGTGATTGATTCAGACCACCGGCTACGATGAAGGTAGATACGCGAAACCATCCTGTCGGTCACTGAGCGGCAGGATAATCAGTGGGTAGTCGGAAAACGTGTCCCGAAGCAATCTTAGGGATCATTCGTCTATTTCTGCGAAACACGACATGGCAAACACAAAACAGTGAAAAGAGCCTTACGCAGAATATGAATTTTGGCCACAATCCGTGCCTCCTTCCTGAATTACCTTGCCATTTGAAACTCCGTTGTAAGATAACCGCTCCATAAAGTTTTTACCAGGGAAACAATAAGTTTCTCAATGAAACAAGAAAAAATACCCCCGCCCAGAAATTTTCAATCGCGAGTGGCTCTGAAACATTCACCGAGGGAGGAATAGAATCTGCTACAAGCAAACTGTGTGCCTTTTATCAACAACGTTGAGAGCGAAGCAAACCACCTACAAGAGCGATCGGATATTACTGACTAGACTAGCACACTCAACTGCAAATCGAGATATGTTGGCAAAATGTAATCATATCCGTTGGTGAGAGGTACTGAATATGACAAGCTACTGGGGATGAAATCAACATAAGTTTAGTTGAAAACGAGGAAAAGGTTGAAAGGCTATCCAACTATGAGATAGTAACATCCAGCATATAGGAATGAGACTTTAACATAGTATGTTTACTTCAGAAAACGTATTTACTCTATTCTTGCTTGCTGACGCGACGAAACCTCAACAGCTTCCCTTAGAATCAACGATCGACAATTGCAGCCGAACGGTTATTGTTCTGCCCTTTGCGTCCGTTTAGCAGGAGTAAACTTTAAACCCTCTCAGTCGATATCGAATACACAATTCAGCAAAATCAGAGCATCCCAGGGTTAGCAAATTCTTCCTAAATTAAAGCCGTCTGTAAAAGTGCTTATTTTCCGTTCTTGGCATTTCTGGTCACACGAAAGAGAGTGCTGAGCGTCCAGGTTACTTCTTTTATTCAGAAAATCTGCACGTGCTTGTTAGTTTCAGCTAATTTTTCCAATTATCGTACTATTCTCTTTTGCCCTACGTAATGTTATGAGTTTTGATAACAGCCTCATTTATGGTTGCTGGTAAACTTGACCGCTGAACTGATTGCTGATTAAATGAAAACTGTAAAATCACACAGAGCTTGGTGCGAACGATTACCATCGCTAGTTGATCGGCACAGTGCGTAATTTAGGAAGAAAGGAGTAGATGTTGTCGAAACACTTCCTGCAAGGCACTCGCACGTAAACAACTTCGATTCTGTTTAATCAGGAACGTTTGTTTGTGACGACATAAAATAGTGCTGACGGCTTAGTCTAATCAGTGTTAACTACCCGCAGTGCAGACTTTACTCAGTGGCTTCAGACAGAATCGTCTAACTCACCGAACACCCTCTCATGACAACCATATCAACATTGGTGGTCGTTTATGCGTCCCTCCTTACGCTGGACTGGACGGCGGATCAGGTTCAGGTAATTAGTAATTACCGAGTCCAATATTGGCTTGTATGTCGTGAAATACTTTTAGGCGAATAAGCTGTGCGAAAAGTATTGTCGTGAAAAGCCTCGGTGGAAATCGTGCCTCAGCCGGCATCGAATTATAAACGGCGATCCCTCGTTTGTGCCCTGGCGCGCCTTGCTTGAAACGACCGAACTTGACAACAGTCTGTCATACTGTTCTGGTTCCCTCGTCTGCATCTCCAACGAACCGGTGATCGTGACCGCCTCTCACTGTTTCTCTGACGAGTAAGCCAAATCAACGAATTTATTACTTTTTGACAAACCTCTCCTCTGCGCATTATGAACAGGAATGATTCAGCTCGGTTGTTTTTCAAAAACTGTCTATGTACGATGAGAACAGGTGGTACATCTCGTTCGGATTCCGTATTATGTTAACCGAAGTAACTGTTTGAAAACTAAAGCCGTTTCTTAGTGCGTATGTGTGGGTATATTAATAATTGGACGATTTGTTATTATTGGTTAAGGTTTCGACTGATTTGGCACCCTGGTTAATTATCACAAGCTGATGTGCAAAGGAACCACTATTTTGACTTTGCATTAAAGCACAGTGCATTCATGTTGTGACCATAGTCCTCTGTCAATTACATCCCCCTTACGTTCTTTGACATGAAGTAACTCCACGGATTACACCACTTGATGATGAGTTAAGCGCTTGAGTTCCTTTGCGCATTCGTGTTCAGTTCTTTAACTGAAAAGAAATATGTTAGTCTCTTAATATACCGATGCCGTGAGGAATAACGAAACATTCACCTGTCAATCACCCACTTTAATTACTATACTTATGGTTTACTTTGATGGTCAGCTAATTAATGTTAACGAAAATATAACTATGCGAAATGATATCCATTATTTATGGCACAGAACTCCACTACTTTATGGTGGAACATACTACGACTGTTCGTTCCTAAGACATAATATTATTGTTTTTCACATCATTATCTTCGGTATCAGTGTCAAAGACCTAATGTCCATTTTAACGGTGTCTGACATCCTGGTATCTCAGAATGAATTAAACGACATTAGTTCTGCGGCAAACGTCATGCTTCTCGCTGCAAGCAAGAAGAAGCACCACTAATAATAGCTGCTTTATGGTGCAATGTTGATCCACGTTGGCCTACAGTAGGTGTTTGCCTCCCAGAGGAGAATGGTTTAGATAAGTCTCCATTCTTCTGCGCGCGGTTCCGTCAACCACCACAGAGCGATCGCTGACTTCTTCAAATGGCATTCTCAGAGGCTTCTTCAATAACGCGGTTGAATAATTTTTATGCATATTGCAGAAAGATAGATCTCCCTGAGAAGAGTACTGAAAGACATTGTCATTTTTTCCATATTCAAGCAGTTAGGTATATTTATCGCTCCTTATGCTTATTAGGTAGGGCTACTTGCGTGCTGCTCAGGTGACTGAAAACGCTTGTTGTAAATTCTTTGAAAAACTTTGAAAACATAGTCCATGGATTGAAGCATTATGATGGATGCCAAGCAAGTTTCAAAGCTCAGAAAATCCGTTAATTATCAGTCACAGGATTAAAATCTCTGAACGACGTTTTTCTCTCCAACATACGATAATAACAGTACTGAACGAAGAAACATAACGTCGAATTTGGCATCGGGTCTCTTTTACACACTAATGTGGTGTACTTTGGGAACGAATGACTGTTTTAATGCAAAATCCAGCACCATCAAGCGGTAACGTTTCTCTCAGGAATGTACATTTCGTCTGCATTTAGCTACTATTACCTAAAACATTTTAGCATGCAAGGTGCGACAATATTGATAAACGTGTGCAATATTATGGATCCCTTTGAAGACTGCTTCTATTCTGAATTCCATTCGATTATTATGAAGATTGGCCATGGAGCACTTCCACATAAGGCAAGTGACATTGCTATAGTAAAAATTATCGAGAAAACCCTACCTACTAACGCCATCCCACTCTGCATGCCAACGGTAAAGAATCGATGGAAAGCCGGAGATCGGGTGGAAGTCTTTGGTTATGGACCAGATACAAGTACATATATCTGTTCAA